TCCTGTGCTCCTCAACAAATTTTCCACTGTTCACCTCGAAATCGGCGAAACAAAAGAGTGAGGCTGAAGAAGCTCCACGTGGGGAAGTCAAGGTGGAGGAAACCCCTGCTGCTGTGGGAAAGGAGGCCGTGGCTGCTGAGCCAGATGGGCCAACAGAGCAGGCAGCGCTGAGCGATCTGTGCCCCATGTCCGCCTCCTGTTTCTGTACCAGCTTGCCGTTGCCATCACACACATGGCTTCTATGAGGCAATAGAGATGTTTGTTTACCTCTCCTGTTAAAGAAAAAGAGCAACGTGCCTTAGCAAGCATGCAGGCTTTGCTAGAAATAATTATATTTTGAAACTCGTTGAAGCTCGTGGGGTTTTTTTCTGTTTAAGACCCTCTGCAGTCTGTTTTAAAATGAATGTAAAAATCAGGTCTTCACAGCATGGTTTGGCAGCTTGAAAGAAGAATTAATCCTGTCTGTACAAAATAGAAGGCGGTGTCACACTGCAGTTGTAGCAGGATAAAGCTGTGAGGGGTTTGCATGGAGACACTGCTGTCAGCAGCTGCCTTGCCCTGGCGTCTGGGCAGGTCTGGGTCTTACGAGGTGACTGCAGGAAGATGAGCTTAGAAAACACACGAGCGAAGTGAAGCTTGGATACAACGCAGCATCCTTTCGTTAAACGAGATGACAGCAGGCGTTTCAGATGAAACCAGCAGGAGTTTTGGTGTGGCAGGAGTGTGGAGCTGGAGGCTGAGCACTGAGGATGGCGATCTGCTCTGCCTGCGCTCACACAGATCTGCACGACTTGTCTGCACCCTTACAGGGCTCCTGGAAAATCGGACATATGTACGTCTGCAGAGCAGCCTCAACGTTTATTAGTGAAAGGGGTTTCTATAAGGGGCTTAGATTTACTTTTCCTCTGGAAAGCATCTTTAGAAATATCCTGCAATCTGCAGGAAGCCAAGACTGAGCAGAAGAGAAAAGCACTTCCAAGTCTTCCAAACGAGACAAGAACTACAGCCATTTTGAGTGTTTGTTGACCTAAACTGGACCTGAACCTCTTGATCCAGGCTGAGCAACAGCCAGAACTGAATCCAAGCTCAAGCAGAAGGGATGCTGCTGAATCCCAAAATGCTGCAGTAGAGCTGGAAGCCGGCAGGAGCACAACTGTCCCACAGAGTTTAGGAAATTGTACATTTTTTCCTCTTCCAAACCTGGAACTCGTGCAGGTTTACAGCTTCTGTAGGAAAGGACCTTGTGTTAGATCCCACCTGTGCTGTAAGAAGTATTGTTTGGGGTGGGGAGCATCACTGCTGAGAGCAATTGATCCCTTGGGCACCTTGATGGGGGCCAGATTTGGAGCCACTGACACACGTCTGCAGTTTGAAATGCCAGGCACCCACTGCATGAGCGTGGACCTGGAGGAAGGCGATTCTGCAGCACTGGTGAGCTTTGTGACCCCACCTCTTTGAACAATCCCCTGCCGTGTGTTTCAGCCCAACGCGTGTGGAAGAAGTGTTCCAGAAAGCTTTCCTGCAAACTGGTGCGTTGCAGGGGCAGCAGGTGATGATGGGAACATTCTGAGTCTTGGGTGGGAGAAACGTGAGGTAGCTGGAAAAGTGTAAGGTCAGCAACGTTAATAGAAACATTCATCCCGTATGGCGCTGTTATGAGCATGCTGATAGCAAAAGTACATAAAATTGACACTAGCACTTCCCGCGTGGTGATCGTTATGTAATTAACAGGCTCTATTTCTGGTGGTTTTTTGCTGTGTTCTGGTTCTGTTGTTGTCTTATAGCTACTTTTATTTCCGATATGCAGCAGCGAGAACCTTTCCGCTCCCTGAATGCTGTCCCATTTAGTTCCCACCATTCATTTCATTGCATCCCATACCTGCCTTCTTCCACTGAGCTTGATTAATGCCAGTTTCCCTGCAGTGATTCCCTCAGCATGAGTGAGATGGTGACCATATTTCCTCTTTATATAGGAGAGTATTGAGGCAGAGATAAGGAGACCACTGGAATTGCTGAGGACGAGAGCGAGGTACGTATGAGCAGCCTCAGGAATGTGGTTGTGCTTTAACATCTTCAGGAGGAGTGTGGCAAAAACATATATATGTCATCTGCATGTAATCAGTGTGCAGAGAACACGACTGTGAGCCAGCTGTGGTACCAGAACATTTCTCATTCAGTGCAAGACCTTCCTTACAAACTGCCTGTTGCAGCAGTGCAGACTGATAAATATTTTGGGGCAGAAAGCAATCAGATCCGTGAACAGAAAGTGGCATAATGCTGTTTCTATTGACATTTGTGGTAAAGAGAGAATATGCTGCATATATTCACAATAGCTTTTACATTTCCCTTGAATTTGTTTGTCTAGCCTTTGTCTAAGCATCTTTAAAAAGGAAAAGGAATTTTGATTCATGCTTTGTTTTTCCTTGCACAGCTGAAAATAATCATGGCGCGAGTTCATTTTCTAAAATATGAATCTGGCACTGAATGGGGTAAATTACAAAGCAGCTGGAAAACTCAGGGACATATTTAATTTCCCTTTAGGTGGGCATGTTGAGGTAGATCAAACCCAGTTTCTGTAGCTACAGGTGCTGATGCGCTGCTTGTCGAGCATTGTCTTATCACTGCCAAGTCTGGGCCAAGAAATGCCTTGCTCTGCCCTGAGCACAAAGGCTCAGCCTTTGAAATGCATCTTTCCTCTGTTCCAAACTAGGTGCCCTTGTAGAGTAACTTTTATCTGGTCAGTTTAACCTGCTTAGAGGAGCAGTATTACTGAATGCAGAAGAGATGCTGTCAGGGATCAGGTTGTTTGCTAAGCTGATATCCTGGCTCCAGTGGAGGACTGTCCTGCTGAGGCAACTTTCATAACCAGTTCTGCAGTATTACTCCAGAAGCCTTCCAAGACTTTGCAAGCAGTTGGTGTGCTCACTAAAGCATGATAATTAGTTCTTGATCTTATATGAGACGGCTGAGCTGTAATTATGACTAACTGTCCTAAAAATTACCCAGTCCTTTTCTAAATCAAGCCGTGGAGCAAGATCTTCAGCTCTGGAAAATGGGGAGAGCTCAGTGAGCTCCTCGCAGACCCCCAGCTGCAGACTCGGCTGCTCTCCTCCTCTTCATGGCCTCATTTTTGCTGCTGCTGAATCTGGGCACTGCACTGAGCTGACAGTTCTATGAGAGGATGATGCAGCCAGCTGCAGCCTGGGTAAAGAAGCATTCACTGTTAGTGCAACTCAAAGCCACGTGGCTCTGTTATCACAGCCTTCATTACATTGGATGGCCCTTGTTTTTTCTCCTGCGTGGCTGTGCAGATTTCAGTAACCCTTCTGCAGATAGCTGGTTTAGGATACTCTTAGTCTGTGTATCGTTATGGAAAACAGGTTTGTAGAGTTGGTTCTCAAAAGGAAGACAGGAAATACCTGCAAGTACGTGGCCCATTGCAGCTGGGTGTGGGATTCTTGTTCTGATTTCAGTGGAATTGAGTCTCCCTCTTTTTAGTTTAGTTTTGGGTTTTTTTTTCTGTATCAAAGGCATTTGATACTAATAGTGAGATTCATTCAGCACTAGCACACATGCTTTTGTAAAAGCCATTTTTTAATTATCTATCTTGCTTTGGTTCTGTATTCTAAGGCATGGGAAATACCCAGTTCTGCATATGTGAACGTGCTGTGCATTCAGTGAGTTACAGCTACAGCTGTTGAGAGCATCACCCTTTCAGTGCTGACTGTTTGCCAGCTGACTCATGTCAATTAAAATTCTCCTCCACCGTAGAAGAAAATTGGCTGTACAAATGCAGTAAATAGGAAATAAATGCTGATCCTAATCACAACAGGCAGCAAGATCAATGTCTGCAGCATGCTGTTAGAATCACATGTGATGAAATCAATCTGATAGGCATTCTGTTCCCCTCCTTTCATACTTCCAAGGCTTTTATATCCACCATTTATTTGAGTACTAGCCTGGGTCAAGACTGCTACATTGGCAATGCTCTGTGGGACAGGTTTGCATGCCTTACAAGTCACAGGAGAAGATGTCAACATCTGTCCATATCTTTTGATGATACTTCTGTTTGTGGCAGAGCATCCTTCCCTAGCAGAATTTTCAGTTCAAGCTAAAACTTCTCCAGTGGTTTCTGCAAAGCACTGGAGTATTTCCTGCTTCCAAGGACTGCAGAAGAATTTATTTACCACATCAGTTAATGTCAGCCACTAGGGGTAGATAGAGCTGAAAAACAGTGACTGAAGAATGATGGTGAACAAATGCAGGCAGTTCAGATTGAGCTCAGAGAGCTGCATTGGTCTCATTCATGGGTGGAAAATCAAAGTGAGGAAACAGAGCATCAGGCTGTGAACTGAATTTCTGCTGAACTTAGCTTGACGCTGGTACCTAGAAAACAGCTTTTCTTTAGTGCTAAAAACTTCCTGAAGTTAATTGAATTGACAGAATGTGTTTTTTATATTTACCTTCACCATCAAGACGAATCTCCAATAAACTTAATTCAAGTGTATTACTGTAAGCAAATACCAGTGTGTACCAACACAAAGGTTGGGGTGATACATAAATTACCTGTGCTGGAGGAAGGATTTAGCAATGGCCTTCAGGAAGGTACTTTTCTATCCACCTTTCAATAACTGAAATAAAATGCAGGCTGACTTTTCAACACAGACTAATGACAAATGATTCAGTCATATCAAATCTACTTGGGTCTTTATTTATGTTTCTTTCTTCTTTAAAATCGGCCTAGCTATAGGCTAACATTTTCTGATACCTGATGACATCTGCATATTTCTAACCTTCATCTAGCTGTAGAGTATATTTGCTTCAGCTAACATAGCCCAAGTTGTACATCTCTGTTCAAAAGGAGTCTAACTAATGCTCTTGAAGGCAGTCCAGGTCTAGAGATGGCAGACAGCAGCTGCAGGTGGTGAGTGCTGCAGATGGGGCACTGGAGTGGAAGAGTGTATTAATTCTATGTAACCTTCCCTTGGTGAATCCATTGATTGTTTTTCTCTTGTTTTTCTCTTGCATCCAAATCCCATTAGCGTTCATTGGAGTGAATCGTGTGCAGTGATGGAGAAAATGAAGCCCCATGTATTCGTGTTGCTGAGATCGTTCTGCTCATATCTTTATTACTCAGTGCATATTTGCCCTTCGTGTTTCACATCACCATAGAACTCAATTTTTCTCTTACCAGATAATTTGTTGGTTTACAGAGAGTATTTGATCTTGGTTCTTTTTCCTCCTGCAAAATTGATCTAAACCCATCATTCTGAGACAGCTGGTGCTGTCAGCCTGTGCTCCCTGTGCAAAGCCAACTCATCCCAGCCAGTGACTCCAACTTTTATCCGTAATTATTGAGGTGCAGTCATCATCCATTACAACTTCAGTCCTGAGCAGAATCTACTCTGTCCATGGTAGAAAACTTCAGTTCCCCCACCTCAGGTTTTCCAAAAGGTGAGCTTCAAAAACGTGCTGCCAGTTACTCCATCTCTCTCTGTACTGTCTGTAGAATAATAATGAATCAGTATTAGAAATTCCCTGTTAATCATCACTTTACGCTGACTCCTGTTCTTAAAAGGAACAAAGCACAGAGTTAGACATGTGGTGAGGTGAAAATAGGCTGATCACTGCAAAAATACTGCATGGATTTTGTTCCAGGTGAAATAGATAGCACTTAGGAGAACCCAGCACTTTCCAACAAGAAATCTTCCTTTGGATTGATGGATTTGGATTGCAGCATTGCATGTCAAGGTCTGGCTTAGGCTGAAGCTTCCAGGAATTTCTGGAAAAGTTTGTTGAGTATCAGCTGACTTTTAGTTTCTAGCAATTATGATGGCAGAGAAAACAAGAACTGTTATTTCTTCTGACTGTCAATACAGGAATGAGAGAAAAGAACTCTCAGAAAAAAATAATCAGATGAAAGCATGGATTTTTTCCCCCTCATCTGTGGCATTCTATACCGATTCTAGCACACTGCTGAGCTCTTACTGTGCAAGTATCCCAATATTGCTGTGAGAACTTTGAAAACATCTCCACGTGCATTTGCACAAATGCAGGTTTGCTGTGACACTGGATGACTCCAGAGGCTGATCATCCAATGTTCAGTTCAGTTGGAGGTTAGGTGGGATAAAGGCCATCTAATGTGCTCACAGTCTCACCAAACCATGGCAGAACAGAGAAAACAATCTGTGCAGAATCAGAGTATGCTGTGTAACAAATCACCACTTCTTTTAGCCGTATGACTCTCAAACTTCTCCGGGCCTGGAGTACGTAGAAAGAATGGGAGAGAGCTGACCCTGAAGATGCTCTGTCTTTTCTCTTTCAGGAGGCTGCTTGACAGGCATTAAGGAATCTGAGTGGCTTCAGCACAGAGATGCAAATGGTTATGAAGGACTTTTCCCAGAGAACTTCACACGCCACCTGGAACAGTTCTTCTCACAGGACACGAATGTGGTTTGAAGCTCAGTCAGTGGGTTCTTCACCTTGAAACACAGGAGCCCCCTTTTTTTGTAGTTCAGGCTGTTAATGGTTTACAGATTGGTTGCTTGTTGAAGCATATCAAAATGAGCATGAGTGCAAGCAGTTAAGCTAGCCATTTCTGAAGCACTGTGTGAAAAAAAAATCAAATACAAGCAGAAATGTCCTCATTTGTTCACATGCACGTGGCAACAGGTTTGTTTGTGCTTTGCCAGAGCTGTGGTGATCCTGTGTTTGGTCCTTTCCCATGAAATCCAAAATTAGCCTCCTTGGTAGCAAAACCTGAACTTGTCTGCACTCAGTGCATCGTATTGAGTTGCACTGCAGAAAACTTAATTAGTAATCCTGTAGTAATGAGGTCAAACTATTACAAGTTTCACGTGTTTAAAAAATATAATTAACTGCTGCAGCGTTTTCCAGTGTTACTTTTGGACGTGCACAGTGTATCTACGGGAACTTGGACGTGTGTCTGCAGGTGCATGTGGGTATGTGTGCATCTCAGCAATGTCATGCAGTGCTTTGGCTGTGCAGTGCCATCAGGGCATGCATTGCTCTCCCACTGTCTGGCATTCCAGACAACAGTTTTGTTCCAAAGCAGAACCAGCTGCTCCATTGCCAAAGCACTGCACAGCGTCCGTGTGAGTGAGGTGAGGTTTTCATTCTGAGATGATGAATGGCATCATTGTCAAAGCTGCTGAACCTTTGAGAAGGCATGGCTTGGTTTCCTCTTCCAGCTGCAGTAGTTACAGTGAGGTAATCTGGAAGGGGAACTGTTATGATGCTCATCTATACTTTTCTATTTAGTTGGCTGAATAAAAAAAAACACGACAAAGTTAATCTCTGAGAAATATCTTTTCACAATAATATTTATGCAGCGTACCTTCACAGATCCTTTTAAATTAAGGTACATAATGTATGCTGTATCAAAAAGTCACCTGTAACTTCTGTTTTCCAGAGCTGTGTCATTAAAAATAAACCTGTGATCCACAGACGTTTCATCTGTGATGCTTTTGAAGTTGTGTTACAATGAATTTCACCTGGTTCCTGTGTTCTCCTGGGGAACCTAACTTTAATTTCATGCCTCTTTTCCCAAAGAAGCACAGCACAACTGGGGCACCATCTCAACTCTTGCTTTCAACCCCCAGGTTCCAGCAGGTCTGACTCCCAGCTCAGCACATCTCCTGGCTGCTCCTCTTGGAAATGGGCTCTGGCCACCAGCAGCAGCAGGGGAACTTGTCTGTGCCCAGCTGTCACTCAGGCTGCTGCCTCTGATTCGTCTCTTGCTCGTCCATTGATCTTGTGTGAAAAGAAAATTCTCCATTGCTCTGCTCCGTTCTGTTTGCAAGCAAGGCAAATTTTTCTATTTTATTCTTTTGTTTGTTGGTTTGTTGCTGTTACGTTCAAGTGATGCCCTCCTCCCCAGAGCTGGATCAGCCCAGAACTGTTTCCCACTCCTGCACTTCTCTGTTTAACGCACTATACTCCAATTGGTGAATTACCAGATTTTATGCTTTCCAGGTGATTGTGAAGCAATGATCCCCCCCTCTGCTCTGCCCTGCTGAGGCCTCATCTGGAGCTCTGCGTCCAGTTCTGGGCTCCCCAGTACAAAACAGACAGGGATCTCTTGGAAAGAGTCCAGCGGAGGGCCACCAAGATGGCGAGGGGCCTGGAGCATCTCTGCTATGAGGAAAGGCTGAGTGAACTGGGTCTGTTCAGCCTTGAGAAAAGAAGGCTGAGAGGGGACCTGATCCAGGTCTATCAGTATCTGAGGTGTGGGGGGCAGAATGGCGAGGCCGGACTCTGTTCAGTGGTCAGTGGAGACAGGACAAGGGGAAACGGCTGGAAACTGCAGCATAGGAAGTTCTGCACAAATATGCACAAGAACTTCTGTACAGTGAGGTGACGGAGCGCTGGAACAGGCTGCCCAGGGAGGTGGGGGAGTCTCCTGCTCTGGAGATGTTCAAGACCTGCCTGGATGCCGACCTGTGCGACGTGCGATAGGGAACTGCTTGGGCAGAGGGTTGGACTCGATGAGCTCTGGAGGTCCCTTCCAACCCCTACAGTTCTGTGATTCTGTGATTCTGTGATTCTGTGATTCTGTGATTCTGTGATTCCCAGTACATACCAGCACCATCCCACAACACCCCAGCATGTCCAAGGATGATCCCAGCACATCCCAGCACATCTCATCCCAGCCACTGCATCCCAGAACATCCCACCACATCGCAGCACATCCCAGCAACATCCCATCAAATTCCCACACCATCACAGCAAATCCCAGCCCCATATCAGCACATCCCAGCCCCATACCAGCAAATCCCAGCCCATCCCAGCACATCCCAGCACCATCACAGCGCATCCCAGCACCATCCCAGTAACATCTCAGCACCATTCCAGGAACATCCCAGCATGTCCCAGCCCATGCCAGCACCATCTAAGCACCATCTAAGAACCATTCAAGCACATCCCACGCCATTACAGAACATCTCAGCACCATCCCAGCACATCTCATCCCAGCAGCTGCATCAGAGAACATTCCACCACTTCGCAGCACCATCCCACACCATCCCAGCACAACCCAGCACCATCCCAGCTGCATCCCACACCACCCCAGCACTATCCAAAAAAAATCTCAGCCCCATCCCAGCACAACCCAGCACGTCCCACACAATTCCACACCATCCCAGCACCCGCCCAGCACAACCCAGCCCGTCCCAGCACCATCACAGCACATCCCAGCACATCCCAGCACCTGCATCCCATCCATGTATCTATCTAGAAACTCTGCTTCCCCAGTCCTTCAGTGAACAGACAGAAAGACACCCACCCTGTGCTGCCTTCTCCTTCACCATTTCCTTCAGGACATGGCAGAGCCTCTGCGGATGTTCTCCAATTCTCCATGCCTCCTTCTGTCTCTCAGGACCTGAACACAAAGCACGAAAATACATTTCAGACAAACAAAGGATTGAACCGAATGGTCTTTTTGGTGAAGTCAATAGAGACAACAGCCACCCCTGGGACGCCTGTGGGGCTCCAGCACGGCAGGCAGCCAAGGATTTTGGCCCGGCCTTCCCTGCAGGCACTTCTGCACCCAAAGCCTGAGGAGAACTTTCCATCACACGCTGCCATCTACGCAGCTGCGGAGCAGAGTTATGCAAGTTGCAGAGCTGCCACGTGGGCAGCTGGTTGGCGCTCAGCAGCTTTCCCCATTCTGTCTCCGGGCCGTGTGAAACAATCCTCAGCAGAAGCATGGAAGAACATCTGGGTTTTGTTACTGGAGAGATCTGTGATGTTACAGAGACAAAGCCAACAGGACACTGGGAGCACGCAGCACCCAAGAAACAGGGACTACACAGAACCGTGTTTAAAAAGTTGGTTTCGCTTTTATTCAATACAAAAGGCTCTGGGTTGTATTTATCAACACAGCCCAAAATGAAACCCCAGCGTCCAGGGTTTCTGCTTAGCAATGAGTCATTCAGCCTCCAGGCAGACACGAGGAGAAGCCTGACCCTGTGGCTACGTCAGCTCCTCTCCCTCCAGGCCCGGCTAGCCGTACTTCAATCTCATACTAGACCGGCCCTGGCCCTGAAGAGATGCAGCCTGAAGGAACACAGCCTCTCCATCTCTTGCCATAGATGAAGACCTGCCTCTGGCAAGCCCTCTTTGCTTGGAATGCAGCACAAGCCCTTCCCTTCCAGGTGCCTTAGTTCTGCTGCACTGTCTGTGACAAGGGAAAGCACGGCCATGCCACAAAACCGGACGCTGACTCAGTCCGCTGCCTTTGGTGCCACCTCCGAGGAAGCATTCCAGCTGATTCGAGTGTCCTGGGGGCCTTCTCGCTCAAGCCCTTCTCGGTTCTTTTTGCTCTCCTTCTGGGCTTCCTTCCTCAGCAGAGCAGCACTTGCCTTGGCTTTCTTCACTGTCTCACCAGACCGAGTCCCAAGACTGTGCCAGTCCTACAAGAATCAAGGCAGAAATGGTCAGGGAACCTTCACAGGTAACAAGTGGCTGACAGCTCGCTTGGGGAGCTCAAGCCACCGCCCGGGCAGCTTTGGCTGCCAGCACTGGAAACCGCCTTCCTGCCATCAGGGCACGCCAGAAACTCCACCTCTATCTCCTGCCCAAAAGTCCCATACGAACTTGAACCCAAAGCCATCTCCTGCAAGGCAGCGCCTGCACAGGGCTTGGACACTGCCTGGCAGCACACACAGCACAGCAGCAGCAGCAGCAGAAGCAGATGAGCAGCACCCCAAGGCTCCTGGCGTGCATCAGGAACACGCGCACACGGAAGGAAGGGCAGGACAAACGACAGCACGCTCAGCAGTGCCGGGCACAGCACCGTAGGCCACAGCTACAGATTGTTCCCTCCCTGCCCATTGCCCGTGCCTTTCTATCAGCCTCAGAGAGCACGACTTACTGGCTTATGGCACCTGGAAACGGGCACGATTACGGCCAGCGCACAGAGCAGCTGCAAAGCAGCTCCACAGAAGAGATGGTGGCGCAGCACGTTCTCTGCCAGCGTGGGCTCAGGGATCTCAGCTGGGAGAAATGCCCACACAGCAGGCAGCCCGCTGCTCTCCTGCTCTCAAGGAGGCTGCTTTCTACAAGAGGGGAGAAGGAGTCGTTATTCTCTCATGCACACTGCTGTGACAGGCTGACTTAGAGCTGTTCTGAACATCTCCTTGCTCTACTGACCCAATGACAACGAAGGACACAAAACTTGCAGCTGCGTTGTCTTTTAAACTTGCGCCTGCCGAGGGAAAGATTCCTCAAACTTGAGCATTGCTCCACTTGCAGGCGAGGGGAGCAGGAGCTGAAAAGGACAGGAGGACACAAAAGAAGGGCAAAGCTTAACAGAAAGCAGACCTGCTGCAGACAGTGCCACCAGCTGTGTTTGAACAGCAGTGCCTCAGCGCACGCTCACAGTAAGGCACACCTACCTTGCAAGGGCCGCTCAGGAAGGTTGTGACACAGGCACCCATTGCTCAATTGCTCCCCTGAGCCCCAACTCCATTTCTCGACTCACATGCCTCGATGTTCTGCAACAGAAAAGTCACAAGACGGAAATTCAATTCATCGCAGACGTCCTCAAACCTCCCTTCTCAGGGCAGTCGCACTCATTTCTCTGCATGACAACTCAGGGAGGGCTTACCGAGTGAGCAGCATTTACTGCCAGTTGGCAGCAGCAACCTATGCCTAACTCTACACTCCTAACAGTAACCTATGCCTAACTCTAAACTCCTAACAGTAACCTATGCCTAACTCTAACCTCCTAACAGTAACCTATGCCTAACTCTAAACTCCTAACAGTAACCTATGCCTAACTCTAAAACTAAACTGACCACTAAAACTAAGCTAACACTAAAATCAACAACAAAGCCCAGAAGTGGGACCTAACTCCTAAGGGGGAAGATGGAACTGGGGGCCCGCAGAAGCGCAGAGGAGCAACAAGGTGGAGGAGGAGCAGATGTTAGCAATGCCACCCAGCTAATGCCGGGGGCGGGGGCCGCGCAGAGGGTAAGGGGCCGAGCGCCCGGACCAGCGATGGCGGAGCTGTGAGCGCGCCAACACGGGGCCTGGCACGGTGGTGTGGTGCCAGGCCAGCTGTGCCGCAGGCGGATCCACCTCCATGGGTTCCTCTGGAGGCGGATCCACCTCCATGGGCTCCTCTGGAGGCGGATCCACCTCCATGGGCTCCCCATGGTTGCTCACAGTGCTGGCCCGGGCGCGATGGAACCGGGCTCCCTTCCTCCTCTCCCTCCTCTGCTTGATGGTCATGGTGGGCCCCCTCCTCCTCTTCGGTTCTGGGGCCCCCAGCTCCCTCTTCCCATTTATAACTACGCTCTCTTCCACTCTCGCTCTCTTCGTGCTGGACATGGCTGCCACCTGCCCAGCACTCTCAGAGACGAGTGCGCCGGGTGGGGCGGCAGTGACCAAGGTTACGGCTGTGACATGGGCAAGGTTCCACAATGGCACCTGTGCTGCTGGG